AAGAAAGAAAGAAAGAAAGAAAGAAAGAAAGAAAGAAAGAAAGAAAGAAAGGAGAGAGAAAGGAGAAAGAAAGAAAGAAAGAAAGAAAGAAGAGATAAAGGAGAAAGAAAGAAAGAAAGAAAGAGAGAGAAAGAGAGAAAGGAGAAAGAAAGAAGAGAGAAAGGAAAGAGAGAGAAAGAAAGAAAGAAAGAAAGAAAGAAAGAAAGAAAGAAAGAAAGAAAGAAAGAAAGAAAGAAAGAGAAAGAGAGAAAGGAGAAAGAAAGAAAGAAAGAAAGAAAGAAAGAAAGAAAGAAAGAAAGAAAGAAAGAAAGGAGAGAGAAAGAAAGAAAGAAAGAAAGAAAGGAAGGAAGAAAGAATGAATCATTAGCTCGTTTGCTCCAAATGTAACTGATTATGAGCATCCTCACAGCAGCAGCCTGGGAAGACCACAAGTCCGGCCGCAGCCTCCCAGTTAGCACCTCCTGCGTGCAGACCTGAGGAGACTGCAGCTCATGCTTGGAAAGGCGGGCTGCACATGGCTGAACAGTAGAGCAGGCAGCCCGACTTTTGACCTGACTGAGTATGATTTAGAGCCATTTACTGACACTCCCAATAACATCACACGTAATAGAACACACATCTTGTAACTAAACCACAGAGAGTGCTGAGTAACAGGACCAATCAGGAGAAACGCACACTCAGAATATAAACCCCTCACATAGCATCGCTCTGAGGAGGCCAGGAGCCTGTGAACAGATTGTGTCTTTGAGGTTCAATAAACACGTTCTAGGATTCTCGAGTGACTGCTGCAGACTTTGCTTTGAAAGGCCTCAATAATTTCTCAAAATACCACATTCAACAAAAGGCCACGTCTACTTCTCTCAAGAAAGATGTAGTCTAATATTACTGGATATGTTTAGGCCTTAGAAATAAAGCATGCCTTCCAGAGGTTGGAGAATAAAAACAGAAAAAGCCTTTCAGAATTAGTAGGTACCACTCTAATCTGAAGCTTCTACTATCCTTTTCAATCGTAGCAGAGAAACAATTAATAAAGGAACCCATTAAGACCTGATTATTGCTGCTAAAAAAGGAAGGTTGGGTTTCAGGCCTTTGAAGTAACTGAGAATGATTCAGGCCTCATTAGAGAGATATAATCTACATTCATACATTTATGTTACTGATTCAAATCTAGTGGGAGAGATTGAATTCCGTTAAATAGTGCATCTTTCCTGTGGCACTTTTCTCAGGCTTCCCGGGCTAACCTAAGAGGTGACCTAATAATGCAAAGCACTGGGGTATTTAGGGATTCAACTGGGCCACAAAAGAAGGCTGTGCAGAGGGGAGAAAGAGGAGTGAGATAGAATCTCAAGAGCCACGTCAGCTTCTCCTTTGGCAGCTCTGTAAGTGCCCCTCCTGTCATCACACACTGAGGAAGAGCCACGAGAGAGGCCTCTGGAACTTTTAAATACTGCACCTGCTGCCACCAGATGCAAGGATGCACATTGTGAAGTTGACCTTCCCTCCCTTCATTTTAGACACAATGAAATAAAAGTTAAACTTAGGAATAAACTATTCAATAGCTTCTCCTAAGAGAACAGAAATTTGGTAGAGGAATGTGTGTGAGAGACTCAAGAAAGAGAGACTAGCTTGGGGCAGTGGTGGGGGCGTGGGTAGGGCTATTGTATGTTGGTTTTTTAAAAAAAAAAAATCCCAAATTGGCATCAATAGCACTGGTTCCCAGTGTAATAAAACACCCAAATCATAACTTCTTGTGTTTTGAAACTTTTCACTGCAGAATCTTTATTGTATAGCTTCAACAAACGTGTTTCTAACAAACATGGAGTTTTAATTAGTAGTCAATTCAAAAGCGTTCGGGTCCTGCTGAACCATTGGGCCGAAACTCAAAGCCCTAAGAAATGGTCCATGGCCTTTCAGGCATTTGTCAGCTCAGACATAGAACTGTGAACTTGAAAATGAAAATTAGCACTATGGGTTCATGTGAAAATATCCGCGCTTTCATTAAAGAGCAGGAATTGTTTGACGTATGCTCTTTCTTTGCTTAACTTTCCACTTAATAGCTACAGAAATGAGAGTTAATTCTATTAAGCTTGAACATCTACTGCGGTGTTTACCACATTGTCAAATCTTTTGAATAAGGGTCGCAATGGATCCTCAGTAAATGCAATTAGGATTTTGATTCTAGCAGTAAATGGTTTTCTTTGAAAGCCCCTGAATGCACAGGAAAAAAGAGAGGTGCATGTCCAGCTATGTTTCCAGGACTAAGCAAACAACATAATGGGGACGCATTTCTAATGCCCATCTCTAAAGCCTGGTTTTAATGGTCTCTGTATTTTCCTCCTATCTGGAACAGCAGATTGAGGCCCATTATAGGGGTCTGGCCTCCTTCATGTGGACAAGCTCCTCTGATTAGGGCCCTCCACATTTCGGTGGGAGCTGCTAAGCCCCCACGTTCACCTTAAAGTGTTTGGCAATCTTAACAGTAAGCTGACCTGTTTGAAATTGTCACTTTTGGGCAACGATGACTATAAAAATATAGGCAATTCCTTATGCACTAGTTATCATGACAAGGCACCAATTCCCTGGTAACTTTGTGCTGCAGGGGAAGTTTCCTCAGTGTTAAGAGGCCTTCACAGAAGAGTGACCACTGCAGGAATGACCCTAACTCAGGTTGGAAGGGCTCCTCAGTCCTTTCTTCCGTGCGCCTCTCTTCTTTGGCCAAGTGAGCCTCCCGGGCTCGGGCCTGTGCGCACCAGGCCAGTGAGAGTCTGGGCTTAGGTGGTGGTGGGAGAGCTCGGAGTCACCAGGTGACACACAGGGAGTCTTATCTGCTCCCGCCCTTCTAGCTTCAAGTCGAGTCCTGGAAACGTGACATTTGAGGGCACGAAAAACGCCCCTTCGTGGCAAAGTGCAAAGGAAATTGCATAGAAAAGAAAACAGACAGCAGGGTAGTCGGCCAAATTGTACGGTTTTTAAAAAAAAAAAATGTTTGCAGTCGCAATAAAGTGAGTACGCTTTGAAGTGCACGCGGGATTCAGTAACTGACTCATGTTAGCAATTAGAAATCGGTCATTTGGGTCCTTGATTTCATTTGCGCCAAGAGAGAGACGACTTTTAAGGATGACGATAAATCTCTCCGAGCTTAAAAGGCAGAGAAGGCCAAAGTGTGAACTTTTTACTTCAGCAACGGAAGCGAGAAATCAGTGATTCATTAAAGCAGGGACCTCCTTGGAAGCTGGCAGAGGAGGAGGAGAGGAAACTAATTATGTCTCCTTGCTCTGCAGGGCTAGCTGCGCCCAGTTTATAATCGGGTGCTTTTGCAAGCTTGTCCACGGCATCTCTGTCTTCTCCCCAGTACTCGCCACCCCAGGGAGCGAGGGGGGGGAGAGGGGTCCGCCGAGCACCAGGCTCTGGAGGCTCCCCGCTATCCCCCTGCGCAAAGGGGGGAGGCTGGTGAGGAAGGGGCGCCCCGGAGGGGACTGGCTCGGGTTGGAAGAAGGCAGAGTTGGGGGAGCGCGAGGCTGGTACTCGCCGGTGGCCAGCGCTGCGGACTCCGGGGCGCAGGAGGAGGGAGCTGCCCGAGCAGGAGGCGCGGGCAGCCCGAGCCGCAGGAGCAGGAGGCGCCGGCTGGGGCTCCGGGACGCAGGACATGCAAGCAGCCTGAACCGAGCGAGCAGCCCGAGCCTCTCGAGCAGGAGGCGCGGGCCAGGGCTCCGGGGCGCAGGGACCAAGGCGCCGCCTGGGGCTCCCGGGCACAGAGGACCGAGCAGCCCGAAGCCGGAGAAGAGTCCGAGCCGTAGGAAGAGGCGCGCGGCGCGGGCCAGGGCTCCG